GGAGCTCAGCCAAGCCGTGCGCTGAGACCGGGTTCCCCTTCATGGACTGCTTGGCTGGGATCCCAAACAAGGTGGCAGCGTGAGCGAGGGTAGGGGGACAGCACACGTGGTTTCCACGGCAATGGTGAGCACCCCACCTCGACTGGCCTATGGCCTCTGAGGCGAGCGAGCAGAGGGGGCCAGCAGGAGAGCAGTCAGGAGAGAGAGCGGTGCGGACGAAGAAGGTGACCGTGCCCCCGTGGTCAGGCAGGCTGCGGGTGGCCGTATCCACACTCTTCCACAAACAGACCGTAATTTATTTAACCAAAACCTAGTAAGAGGCCATTAGATGATTTCAGGCTTTTCATTTTGTTTTGCTTGCTTTGCAACAGCAAACAATTCTCTAGTGACTCTGCTTGTCCCTATATCCCGCCATTTTACTGAGAGTATATCTTTCAGTATCTCACTCTGTAAAATTACTGAGTAAAGGGTTAATGGTCTGGTCCTTCTCTTTTGTTTGGAGGGGCCCCATCAGCAGACTGGAAATGGGATGGGCCATTTGTGCGGGAATGTCTCTGACTTGGCATGATTACCCATCTTGGTCAAAAGGTGGGAGAAGAAGGTTTGAGACTGGGGATAGGGGAGGCTATGCAGGGGGGAGGTATCAACCCCAGACCGGTAGGAGATTAAATCCTCTCCTGCAGACCTTTGAAATGACTGCAGAACCAGACACTACTATTATGACCACACACTCAGCATGGAGACCCACCATTCTAAGTTTAGCAGCATGAGAATCACCTGGAAGGCTTGTTGAAACTCCCTCTGCCAACCCTAAGTTTCTGACTCAGTAGGTCTGAGGTGGGGCCCAGAGTGTGCATCTCTATCAAGTCTCAGGTGATGCAGATACAGCTGGTCCAGGCACCACACTTTGAGGACCACTGCCGTAGACTGTTGTCCAGGGTAGCAGCAAAGTGGTCAAAGGGAACACAGCTAACTGGTGTCAGGACTGGGATTTGACTTGAGTTTCTGACTCCAAAATCTGGGCCGACTGCCTTACAGCAGAAGGTTCTCGCCCTGGCTCACATCAGAATCATTTGCGGCATTGGAAAGGTGGGTGCCGGGCTGCACCCTGGACCCATGACATCAGAGTCTGGGGGGACTTGGCACCAAAAGATTCTCAGAGCCCCCCACATGAGCCCAATGTGCACCAAAGCTGGAAACCACTCCTAGGCTACAACGCTGGAGTCATTCTGGCAGAATGGGGAACACTGGGTCTCTATCATGCCTCCTGCCCCCCAGTTTGGACTTCACAGATGGAGCACAGATGGGATTTTTCCCAGTTGGGTATGGCTATACTTTCAGATAATGGGCAAATTTTCCTACAGATGAAGAAAAAAGTGAAGTAAGTATGTATCCCCACCCACTTTATGGAGATGTAAATGACATAGAGTATTATGTAAGTTTGTGTAGAAAGTGTTGCTGATACATTTACATATTGCAACATGATTACCACTGAAGCTTTAGCTAACACCACCAGCAGGTCACATAGTTACCGTTTCTTTTTTGTGGTGAGAACCTTCAAGATCTACTCCTAGCAATTTTCAAGTATATAATAATTATTAAATATAGTCTCCATGCTATAATTTGATACCCAAACTAATCTTTCTTATAACTGAAAATTCGTATGCTTTAGCCAACATCTCCCTAGTTCCCCCACGCCCTTCAGCCCCTGGTAACCACTCTACTACTCTGTTTCTATGAGTTCGGCTTTTCTATATTTCACTTAGAAGTGAGATCATACAGTATTTGTCTTTCTCTGTCTGACTTATTTCACTTAGGATAATACCTTCAAGATTCACCCAAGTTATCACAAATGTAAGACCTGATTCCAGGTCCTACATTCAAGTCTTTAATCCATTTCAAGTTTATTTTTGTGTATGGTGTGAGAAAAAGGTCCAGTTTCATTCTTCTGCATATGGCTGTCCAGTTTTCCCAACACCATTTGTTGAAGAGACTGTCCTTGCCCCATTGTATATTCTTAGATCCTTTATTGTACATTAATTGACCGTATAAGCATGGGTTTATTTCTGGGCTCTATTCTGTTCCATTGATCTAGGTGTCTGTTTCTATGCCAAGTAAGTATATATTTTGATGGCACTTGAAGACTGTACCATAGACTTCACTGTAATTTAGGAGAGTTACATCACCCTGAAGGGCCACATCAAGGTGGCAAAAACAATAAGCAAGAACCCAAACTGTCCAAAACATATAATGGGAATCGCTGTCCCTGTCTTATGTGCCAGGGGCACACTGGTAGTGGCCATCTGAGGTAGGGCTCACCCTGTGACTATTTCTGCTCATCCTTAGAGGCCAAGATTCAAACCGAGCAAGGAGACTGCATCTCTTGGTTAAAGAAAGGCAGCTTTTCTCCAAGATCTCTCCTCCACTTATCTTTGGTATTTCCGTGATTGACAGACAGAAATATATTTATTAAGGGATTATCTATACTGAAAACCAGACATGGGATTTTTTTTTTCTCTGTCAACATCGCAGAAATATCAGCTGTTTGAACAAAAGGAGAGGTATTTTCATTCAATCCCAAACACTGAAAATTCACCAGTTTATATTCAGGAAGACATTTGGTTTTATTGATCATGTTAGCTGAATAAGTTTAAACTCCTATAGCCAGACAAGGAGAAGATTGATTTTCTCTTTATTATAAAGGTTATTAAGAGGAAGCCAGATATAGAAGTTATTTGTTTTTAGACAATCCCACAGAATCAGAACCACTCAAATACGTTCCAGAAGTTTTGTTCAAAGCCAACACCTGAATGGCCTAAAGAACAGCGCTATCTCTTCTGGGAATACTAATTTTATTGTTCGAGACTTGGCATACTTCGGGCGAGTGCTTTGTTATCGATGGGGGAAATGTCCATTTCTCTGCTTTTAAGTCACACTTCACTAATGGTCAGAGATAGAACAGACGCACCTGGGCTGCCTGCACCACAGAGCCCTTGGCCACTGATGGTAACTTAGCATCGTCCCTGCAGACTGACTGCGTCCGTGACTTTTGCTGCAAGAGCACCTGTGTTCATCCACACGTGCAAACACAAGGAAGCCTGCATGTCTGCCAGTAATCAAGTGTGCACTTAAAAACCAATACCAAACACTTTCATAGCGAAACAGACTTACCGCTAACTTGCTCTTTCTCTTTTTCTTGGCATAATTTCCCAGTTTCTTCAAATCCAACAAGGAGGTATCCAAAATACTAGAGGAAGTGACTTTATTGGGTTTTTCCTCACTTTTTAGTACTGCCTAGAAATACTGGTCTCAGATTTAAGGGAAGGAACCCAATCCCTCAATCACCACTCAAAAACACAGGCGTTCCTTCCACAAAAAGCTCACATACCAAAAAAGTCCTCTCCGGGATTTTGTTGAAATTCTGTACTTCATCAGTGAGAAGTGAGGGACAGGCAGCCTCCTGAGCGCCCCAGTCGGCCTGTCAGCTGATACCGTCGGGTGCGAGCGAAAGTCTGGGTGGGGGCGTATCACCAAGTGACGGGTCCCTATAACCAGTGCGAAGTTCTTGTGTTGCTTTCAGGAAGTCCACTCCTTCAAAACTTTTTGACATTTACTTTGGTAAAATCATATATATATAAATCTCCAAAGGACAGCAGTTTCAGTCCTTTCTGAAAGAAATGAGGTGACTTACAGAAATGACCATAATTACTTTTTAAGTGAAGTTATGCAAATCTGATAGACTAAAGTAAATGTTTCATAAAACCAATGACTGTGCAAATTGTAGGACTAAATTGTTTGTATATAAATATTACCTTTTATATTCCGTTTGAGTTTTATGTAGATGAACACATTACTTTAATGACCTGCGTTTGTGGAGAGGGTAGGAGACTCGCTCTCTCGATTCTCCCCCGCCAGATGGTTGCCTTTTCTTGCATGAGATTAAAACATGTCTCCCATTCACCGCAATGCTTCTGAGGCAAATTAATATCACCAGCTAAATTGTTTGTGTTTTCGGAATAAAATTTAAAGAGAACTTTTTAAAGCAATCGGTGTTGCCAGTTCCCAGAGCAGATTGCTCTCCAGGTAGGGCATGCTGGTTTTAAACATTCAGTAATTAATGGAAAGCATTCTGTGTTAATTGACTGCTTCAGGAAAGGGAAATATAATGGTTCCTTATTAATCATGAAAAGAAATGTATGGCATGGAAGCACCACAATGATTGCCCTAACAGCGGAGAAACGTTAATTAATGAAAAGAACAATGATGTAAGAAATTAGCTGCATAATGTTCGCTGCTGATGGAGGCTGGGTTTTAAACACGTTATTTACAGTGGAAACCACGAAATGTTGCCTCAAACAGATGGATGTAACCTTGTACCACCCAAGTTTAGGGGGAAAAACAATCTTAAAATGCTGCTGTCATCTTTGCTTGCAGAAGAAAAACACTTGCCCAGGGCTCTATTTCTTTCAGAGAAGGACGGCCCTGTCCTTCATGTGGGATCTGGGCTTCTAAAATCAAAATCTTCCTCGGAGCAAAACAGGGTCACTTATTAATGTCATTTAATGACACAGCAGGTCGTTCTAACTGCTGAGGACAAAAGAAGAAGAAAGTATTCTTCCCTAAACTGAAATAAACTCCATTTCTGATATTTCCCAGCTAACGTAAAGGAAAATTTAGATTCGTTTTGGGGACAGAGTGTCTTTTTTTTTTTTTTAATTTCAAGTCCCTGCGAGAATATACAGCTTCCACTCCATCTAACAAGTCATCTTCTAGAAAAGGAAATGCAGGGCCCCCGTCAGCGGCGCGCACGGCAGTTAGGGGCTCAGAACTGGAGCTGCCCGAGCTGGTGGCCCCTCCGCTGGGTCAGGCGGCACAGCCGCGGGGCGGGAAGGCAGGGACGGGGGCTGCGCACAGCCCGCCCCCAGGTGGGTGGGGAGGGAGGCCACTCGGGGGGGCCTGCCCGCGCAGGTGAGCCCCGCACTGACGCCCTCTCCTTGCAGGTGGAACGTGCTGGGACTGCAGGGTGCACTGCTCTGCCACTTCATTGAGCCCGTGTACCTGCACAGCATCATCGTGGGCAGTCTGCACCACACCGGCCACCTCTCCCGGGTCATGAGCCTCCGGACCGAGGACATCGGCCAGCTGCCAGCCTCGTACCGACACAACCAGCCCCTCCTCAGCGGTAAGAAAACTCCGTCCCCATAGACACGCAACCAGGGCCCTCTCATCGGCCAGCCCCATGTGTCCTAACTCCGGCAGATCTTACCCATGTTGGCCGCTGGCTTAAATATTTACGATTTAGCGAGCAAAATTACAATAACACAAAACTTTAAAAGAGAGGAAGGTTACCGTGCATCCTGAATGTAGGAATGGGCAGCATTCTGAGGTGGACGCAGAACAGGACACAGCACACAACCGGGTCACACCATCACAGTGACTGAGGGAACCATCACGCGCGGGCCCAACAGGACGACGTACCCGTCCCGCTCCGCTCCGCGGGCGGCGCCTCTGATGAAGGGCAGCTGGGTCAGGAGCAGTAACACGGAGGGTGGACAGCGCAGGCCCACAGGCTGCCCCGAGTGCTTGCAGGACTCGGGGTCCCCGTGCCCGCCTCGCACAAGGGATTCAGAAGGCACATCTCAGAGGCAACAAGGTAATCCAGCAAGCACTGAGCATCTATCCTACTTCACACTGCCTGTGTCCATAGCACCAGACCTCCGGAGCCTCAGTGTCCCCACAGCAAAATGGGGACGGCCAACTCCTAGGCCACCCGGCACACAGCCGGTTGTAAGGATCAAGAGTCACACGGCCAGGAAGCGCTTTGGAATCCATCACGTCCTGTACACTGGGAAGGATCGAGTCCTGATCTCGGCATTTTGGAGGGGAATGCCTATGGTGACCACTGGTCTCCACATCACAGACCCTTTCCTGGTTCCTGAGAATGAGCCTCACCAGAGGCCTGGAGGAAACAGCGCGTGCAGAGGGGGATTCCCTTGCTTGGGCAGGACAGCATCCTGAAGGGACTGCCGGAGGCCGCCCCGCAACCCCAGGCAGGTGTCTTCAGGAAGCGGGAATAGCTTTCCTGGGAAGGAGCAGGGTTGGCTGGCTTCAGTCTTGGGCCATATCACCTGAGAGAGAAAGAGGAAATAAAAGAGGTGTTCAGGGTTGTGGCTCAGACTCGGGCCTAAGATTTATTCCCAGGATTCTCAAATTGTTCTAAATTATAAAATCAGGGTGATAATAGTGCCCCATGGGGGTGGGAGTGAGAACAACTGAGCAAGTGTTGAAGAAGACACCTCCACATCCATTCCCTTTGTCTCTGAGACTCACCGACTCTCTGCTGCTCTGGGAACAACCTGCGGGCTGGGGGCTGGCTGACCACCCAGGTCCCCGCTTTATTACACCGCAGGCCTTCCTTTATATGTGAGAGCCTATGCCCAAGATCCTAGACCCCATGCTGAGAGCCACCTCTCTGCTGCCACAGGAGTATGAGTGGCCCTCAGGCAGCAGGTCCGAGATCAACTGTGTCAGCCCGTGTCACCCGTCCTCACATCCCTAGGACCATATTAGAGTCCAGGGGCATCGTGTGTCCAGTGAGGGGACTTAGAGTCAAAGTCAGCACACCTCAGTGAGGCCATTGGAGACAAGGTCACAGATTCTGTCCAGAAACACCAAACAGCACCATCTTTTAGAATTTCACTTGCGCTACTGTCCCCAGTCCTGCTCGGTCATGGAAGGGGTTAGTCCTTTGCCACCGTCCCAGGGGCTGAGAAAACAACATCAGCAAGGCAGGATTTCCTCACCACCATCCTTGCTCAAAAGGCTGCCTTTGGATGCAGCCCACCGCCTGGTCCAGCGTTGCAGGGTCCCCAGCCCCGAATCACAACCGACTCTGGACGATGGTGGGCCTGCAGGTGGTCGTGCTGGTGGGCGAGCACCCGAGGGGCCCAGTCTGCATGGCGCAGGGAGAACACAGCACCCGAGCCTCTTGCTGAGAGTGACTACGTCAGCTACAGAAGGGAAGGTCCTTCTCAGCATCATGAAGATGGCGTCCCACCAACCAACAATCTCCATGTTACAGATGTGGGAACAGACTCCTCGAAACTATGGACGTGGGGCAAGGATTTAAACTCAGCTCGATGACACAGCTAAGCCCTTTCAACACCCCACACTGCATCCCATGACCTGTAGCACCATTTAACAGATGTCCATATTTTTAATCCCATAAAGATTAATAATGCAAAACAAGACTAGCGGAAGAGGTGATAGAATCTAACTCATGACGAATGGTGTAGGAGAGGCAAACCGACCCAGCGGGGCCAGCCGGGGACACTCACTCCCGGCTCATCAAGGGTCACAGGAGAGGCGCAAACATTTGCCTCAAATTCAAAGTCTATAAAATTACGTTTATTTTTTAAACAGTTGGTAATTTTAGGAATTCTGATAAAATATCACTTTGGCTCAATTTCAAGCTCTTTCTTTCATTTTTCCTTTTTTTCTCAAAATGGCAAAGAATACTTTTTTTAAGATTTTATTTATTTATTTATTTGACACAGAGAGAGAGAGAGAGCATGAGCAGGGGGAGGGACAGAGGGAGAAGCAGACTCCCCACTGAGCAGGGAGCCCGATGCAGGACTCCATCCCAGGACCAAGATCATGACCTGGGTCGAAGGCAGACACTTCACCAACTGAGCCACCCAAGCATCCCAAGAACACTTACTTCTTATGGCTGAACAGCCAGCACAGCTCTGGAGCAGACCCAAAGTCCTAGACCTACTGGTTTGGTGCTAAATCCAATGTTCCCAACTCGGGTGCCGCACAAACCTCACTGAGGTTCTTCAGTCTCTACATTAAACTTACAAGAATTCTCATCTGTTCTCACCTTTCCCATGAGGGGGCTGGTTTTCATCCAGCCTTTGGGTGCCACACAGAATGGCCATCCATTCTTGCAAAGCTTTTTAAAAATTTTATGTTCAACTGGGAACATGTAAACAGATAAAAACAGGAATTTTGAATTATAAGTGTAAAAGCAGTAAATTTTTAAAAAAAAAGCTCAATTAGAGAAATTCAGAACACCTGAAATCGTCGAGTGGCGTACCTGATGGCAATGCGCCTGAGACTCCCACGTGAACCCCCACCCCCGGGTGACACGCACGCCTACTTAAAACCAGGACAATTTAACTAGACATTTCAGTCCATACTGAAAATACAGCTTTTGTTATTGCAGAGATGCAAATAAGCCTAAACCGTGGTGTCTCACCTGCACACGCTTAGCTGCAAGAACTGCTCTGCTTTTGATGGATATTTAAAAACCAATCATGCAAATTTTGAAAGGAAATCATCAGGATTTTTTTGCAACAAAAGAGAGACGGAGAGATCTTGTATAAGGAGAGTAATGAAAAGCACACTCAAACAAGCCCATGAAATCTGCTTGAAGATTCCCTCAAGGTCAGTTTGCAAAATTGCCTGAGAAGATGAAGCCCACGTACTCACAGAAAGTCCCGCTGTTTAGCTGGGGCTCAATCAGCTCTGGGTTAATAAGAAGCAGCCGAGCTGAAAAAGATACCCTACTGACACGGTTGTAGGATGCATATTAATGTCCTCCAAAGATATCTTGAAGCATTCTGCACAGACCAGCCTACACCTCTGGGCAGAACGTGAGGACGGACACCCACACCATGGCTGCTGTACACCCCGAGCCCTTTGGCGCATCACATTACTGGATGAGAGCAGCTCCCCTAAAGGAACTTGCCTTCAGTCTTTCTCAGCATATTGAATACGACGAGAAAAAGGTGATGATGATAATAAAAATCTATGCTCTGAATACTCATCTTGTTAGAAAAACATTAAGTGAAGTAGAAAGTGACTTTGAGGCTACTCTGCTGGGCAGAGGGTCTGGTTTGTCTGCGCTTCCAACCTCAAGGTAAGTTTCATTTTTCTTCATCAGGAAAAAGAGAAATCTGGGTGGGATACACAAGTTCTTTGCTCCTACTAGCAGCGTATTTACTGGATCTGGTGTTCAGCGCTGAACAGTCTTAGTTCACACTGAACATAAAACTTTATAGCCCATGGCAAGGTCCTGGCAACGAACACGAAATCCGAGAGATGAACCCAGAGAATCGGATGTTAGAGCCCTGAGTTGGCTCAGACCCTGGTTTATGTTTGCATGATGGGAATCACAGGATTGTGACAAGCAGAGCATCGGCTGTCTTCCTCCCCAGCGTGCATCTTCCTGAAGGAGTAAAATGGGTCACTGGTGGGTCAGAGCCTCTTCAGACTCCATGTTTCTCAAGCAGCTGAGTTCATCGAAATGTCCTGCCCAACACCACCTACTTCCTGCACTCTAGACTCCTCTCCTCAAGGAGTGGTAGTGGGTGGGATGGAGAAGGAGGTCTGTCGACATGCATATCCACATTTTTGTGAGTTCCAATCTCCAAAGTATTGTCACATTAAACTGTAGAATCCAATATGGAGAGGCAAGCCTCTTTAATTCAGGAGAAATTTCTGAAGTTAATGATCATTAATAGTATCTTGCAAAACAACCCAGTGGGGTAGTAGCAAACATTGTTTTTATGCAGATGGTAACTAATAGGCAAAATTATTTTTATATTAAAATAAGCCCTAGGGCGCCTGGATGGCTCAGTCCATTAAGCGTCTGCCTTCGGCTCAGGTCATGATCTCAGGGTCCTGGGATCGAGTCCCACATCGGGCTCCTTGCTCAGGGGGTAGTCTGCTTCTCCCTCTCCTTCTGCCCCCACCCGCTGCTCATGTTCTCTCTCACTATCTCTCTCTCTCTCTCTCTCAAATAAATCTTTAAAAAAATAAAATAAGCACAGGTTTATTATGGAATAACCTATAAATTTTTCATAAATGTTTAGGATAAAACACATGAGCTTAAAAATATATCTGAGCAGCTCCTTTGTCTTAGAGTTCTTAGAAGTAGAAATTTATCTCTTGTGCCCTTGAAGGAATATTTGGTAGAAAAAAATTTATTATAAATCTTGCTGGAATAATCTAAAGGCAATCCTAATATCTGCATGAAGACCAAAATGCTAAATTCAACAAAGAAATATTTAATAAGACATTTCCATAGATTAGCACTGATTTCCCTCTGCAAATTAGATGGCTTATGATAAATTTAAAATTATAGAAAAACCTTGTTTTCATTTTCTGAGGAGTTCT